ACGAATATTATAAAATAGACCAATCAAATGATTATTAAGAAATAATTAGACTAAAGAAAGTCAAGAAGAAGAGAAATATTAAAAAAAATTGTATCTTTAACAACATTTTAATGAAAGATCAGAGAATTTACGGCAAGAACTCGCCTCTATGTGCAAATGTTTCTTTTGTCACCAGATTATGAAAAAATTTAGCTAGTGGATATAGTGCTCGTGAATCACCGAATGATTCACTTCATGCAATATATATTGATGCATTACTCGGTACTCCCAAAGCCTTTATCAACTTTGAATTACCCCCTTTAATTTGTGTTTAAACTTTAAAATACCCCACTAATTCATATAATTTTTTCATCTATTATGATTATAATATTATATTTTACATAGTATCAAATTTATCAATTATGATTCTCCTAAATAACTACCTCTTACTCAAAACCAACTAAAGCGTTTTAGCATTAGAAATGATATTTTTCCATCCATGCAAAACATTAACATAAATATGATAATCTTTAATATGTAAATTTAAACGTGATACATTTAAAGAGAGGTATTCATTGCAAGGCTTGTAAAAGAGAGATCAAAGTTACAAGGTTTTGATGAAACAAAAAAAGGACGATGGCTTTAATTTTTTTTTTAATTTCATCATTGGTTTATTGTCTGCCAATCCAAAAATTTACTAAGTTTGAGTTGACTCTCCGAGTAAAAAAAAAACAAATATCCAGTATCTCTCTACACCATTCTCATTCAAAAAATCGATTTCTATCACATTCTTCTCATCCTAATTGCAACCCTGTTCTTTATTGTGTCAGTAGCTATGCAAATTCACCGATTATAACAAACATGTAGACATTAACTAGAAGAAACGTTTTATAATTGAGGTAGTAACGTTTGCCTCGTACCACGTATATAAGAGGTTTACGCTTACAATTTTCTTTATTTTACCTTCCCTACACCATTCCCATTCACAAAAATATTTATGGAAAAACATAAAACATCGAACAAAATATTTTAAGTCTACCTAATGAAACATTTAATTCATATGAAGATGGGAATAGACCTCTAAGCCATTCTTTTGATCAAAATAGATTTATGAGATAGTACTAATAAAAAAGAGAAAAGTTGTGTTTGCTTAAATCCTAAATATTGTTTTTGAAACAAAAAGATGGGTGTTTTGCAAAACAGTTTTGATGGTTTGATAAATAAGCTATATGATAATTGGAAACCAAAACCATGTGATAGTGGTCGCGAATAAAGAAGTTTTGAGAGTTTTTTTTTAATCCTAAATATTTTGAAACACGTTTTTGCAAACCACGTTCTCACACAG